ATATGCAAATATATATGTAGATGTACAAGTACATTGTTTTTGTTCATGTACATATAGATCTATACGTATATGTATAACAAGATGTATATATATATATGAATATTCGTATTAATATGTATATGTTTGTGTATATTTATACGTGTACGTACACGTATGTGTATACGTTGAAGTATAAGTATAAGTATAAGTATAAGTATAAGCATAAGTTTATGTATATGTGTATGTATATGTGCATGGATATGTATATGTTTTTGTTCATGTTTGGGCTAAGCCTTCCTTAAAATACCACTCGTGGATAAAATGTACAAACACAACAGTCTCCATAACAAAAATAAGTAACAGACATACGAGCATTTATTGGGGTCAATCGCATTGGATTCCTGGAGCAGCGAACCAATACAAAAATTGATTTCTTTGGGCAAAATCAACATCGCTTCGTACATATGTACAAACTACACACTCAATCGCGGCGATATATAGATGAGTCCCTACATATTGCCTTTGTAGTTGTTTGATTCTGGACTCTGGTATAATACCGAAGAAAATACTCAGTCAATTCAGAAGAAGAAACCAAGCAGCAGTGTTATCGTTCAGAGTGTGTGCAAGCCAACAACCTAGCACTCAACCGTTCGCAGCACTCACTGTTGTTGAGAAAGGGAGATAATGCAGATGGACGATTCTGAATTCTCTATTTGCCCGTAAAAGTCGAAACATATTGTCGGTTGACTGCTATGTAGAGAGGACTGGGTTTCGCAAGCAATCGCGCATATGAATCTTATATGGAGTTTGTAGTTTTGAGTTTCGGCCTTGGAACCTGATATGAAAATCTGCGTATTTAAAATAGGCCAATAGAGTTTGAGTTTGGGTTTAGATTTTATCCGATCTTTTTATGAACCAGTCTAGTGATGAATCTATAAATAGACTAACATTCTTTTGTAATTAATATACCAATAAAAGTGATTCTCGTCACTAGTTTAGTGTCATTTTGGGTTTGGCGAGAGTTTTAGCTAAAATACTCTACAGCACACAAATGTGGAGTTGTGGACTGTTCAATGAGATATTATATAGGTAAATACATGTATGAGGATACATACACCTACGCTACTTCTTGCTGTATTCTCTTGTGAGGACTAATATTTGCACTACGACACATTCGTGCTGTGAAGTATCCTATGTTTATATATAAGCGCTATCGAAAGATCTCGATAGCCTATATTGTGGCAAAGCTCAGTCGTTTTTACACAAGGAATGGTTAGGAGTTGTACCTATTGTGCAAGTATTTAAAAATTCGTCGACCGGGCTATGTTGAGGTAGCTAGCGTGATATTATATATGTACATACGCGTTTATAAATATTAGTCATATCTGTATCATATAATGGCGACTACCTCCAATGAAAATAGCAATACTTCGCCGGCGTCCAGTAGGACGACCTCTCGGCCTAGCAGTGGGCGTGGTTGGCGGAGGTCACGCTCAGGCGCAAGCAATCCATCTAGAGTATCTAGTGGAAGTACAGCAGAGGCATCACCTGGAGCACCCCTGAGATCAGGAAGTAATGTATCTATAGACGAGAATGGGGTGCAGAGACGCGCATCGAAACCCAAGGCTGCGATGAGATGGACCAAGGATGTGCTGAAGAACTCGTTTGATAGTCTCTTCTCACGCGAGGTATGTGGGATTTGTATATTAGCACTGTTTGAACCAATTTGGGAATGGGTAATTGGATCAACTATTGCAATCAAATGTATTTCATAGCCCCGTGAGTATTAACGGATTCGTCTGCTCTTGTTCCAACACCTCATCTTATGTGATAAGAGTACACGAATACACATGCACAAGTATCCATACGCGCATATGAGTATTTAATAGGCCATTTCACAGTTTACTGTTGCTCAGGCTAAGAGTAATTTATATGCTTAAAGCGTCGATACGTAATTGAATACGGAACCTATCGTGTTGCACAGGAAAATCGTCATCAGTGGAGCGCTTTATGTTAAATCTCTATACATATGTGTACACACTTTGTATCTACATATATATGTATGTGTACATTAATATGAATGGATTATTTATGCGTCTTCACACACATACACACGTAGATACACACACACACACACACACACACACACACACACGCGCGCACACACACGCACACACACACACACGCACACACACACACACAC